TAGTATGCATCTGTCAGCAATTCTCTTAGGTGTTTCATGCCTTAGGTATTTGGCCTATAAAATTAAGAGCTGATTATAATAGAACTCTGTAGAGGAGGTAGCACAACTTCAGTAAGTTGTCGTGCAAAAACTTGAAACCAGTCAGAGGCAGGCAGAAGTCAAATTACAGATCTTAGTAGTTTTAAGACATGAGTGAGGACGTCAGTCTTCACTGATATATTTGAAACACAACCACGCTGTAAGTATTTATTTCCACTATTGGTAGAGTAGTTCAAGAATGAGGCTAGAAACTCAGGGTATCTAACAATAATGAAATCCATCTGGGAGCAATACAGTAAACACATGGGAAAAAAGATTTTTAAAGGGAAAGACAACACTTCTTCTACTAGAAGAAATACCTTACAAAACAGTCTTTTTTTTAAGCACATGATCAGAAAATATTTGCCAAGCCACATTGTCACAAGGTTCTTGTGATACTAAAACTGTTTGTTCTATAGAACAGGAATAAGTGACAGGTGTATCTAAACTAGGAAACTTGGAACACTTTCAAGTGCCTGACTCCAGATGCACTCTTGCTATATCCCACCTGAGACACCTGAGCAAGTATTACCCTCCCTCAGGTCCCTGTTTGCTAGCTTATGCACAAAGCAAACCAGGCATGAAGCCTCTAGGAAGAGCATGGTACGCTTCTGCTAAGTTCCTGATCTGGATTAGGAACGTGGGGAAGGCCAGTCTCCCAGCCTTGACAAGATCTACATTAACGTAAGGGAGAAATAAATGTTGGTGCCTTAACCAACCAATGTAAAATAGTTTTATAACTATATATACATGTATATACACACAGATGTATGCACACACATATATTCATATATATTTATATAAGAGAAACTATTTTCATATATATGTGTGTGTATTTATGTGTGTGTGTGCACGTGTAAATTTATATAGAGAGAAGCAAATCACATCCATTCTGACATTTGTACAATGTATTCATGTTTTATACTAGATAGATGGAACAGTGGTCATCTCCTATTTGATGGATGTCTACCACAATGAAGCCTTTAAGAGTGCTTTTAAAATTAATAGCAGTATTTATATACTTTACAAATGATTCTTCTCTTTATCCATAAAGCCTAAAATAGAACAAGGGTTGAAAGGAGACAAAACGCTTCCATGAGCTGTTTATCTCTAATGATTCATACTGTTAAAATCAATAGGATTAAATTAATTTAGACAGAGCAGATGTGAATGTAGCCTTTTGAATGTGAAAAAATAGACAAACTAGTATTATAAATTAACTCAGTGATACATGATATTCTGAAAGATGCTCGTGATTTTATACTAGAAAATGTTCATTGTAGTTATAATGAAAAAAGTGATACTCCTTGTTTGAAATATTCAATTTTTTTTTTTTATACACAGGTTTGCCTGTATTATATTTACAGTAGAATGAATTTAGCCGTGAAAGTGTTATGTAAGGATAATTTATTTTTGTTGGCATTTTACAGCATTTCAGAAGTCTCCTTTTCATTTGCATGGCACTAATCGTTAGCAGAGTAAAATTACTGTGATTTGTAACACCACCTACAAGGAAAGAAGTGTAAAAGTAAGAGCATGAACAAAGTTGGACTGAAATTCAACCTGGCGGGAAAAGCCCGTAAGACACCCAGCAGTACCAGCTAATTCCCACAGGGTGGCAGTTCAGTACTTCAGCAGCATCTAGAGTTACTCAAGGGAGCAGCTAGTCAGAAAAGCTTTTGCATTGCCTGTGAGCGTTTTATTTCCTTATATTTTTGTCGGAGTTAACAAGGACTTTTTTTTTCCTTCTGTAGTAAATGTTTTTTTTTTTCCCCCCACTTAATCTCTTAAACTCTAAAATCGTTTCCTGTTAATATTAATAATTTAAAGGAAGTAAGCAGTTTCAAGGTCTAATCACGCCACCATCGAAAACTGTCAGTTGCCTTTGAATAAAGGATGGCATGATTGACAGTATTACCTTCAGGCAAGGGGAGATCTGGAGAAGTAGAATAGCGGCAAACTTCATCTCTCTCCCATGCTGTTCAGATTATTTATCAAAGTATATGAAGATGAAAAAAAATCAAGGGAAATGAATGCATGTAAATTATTAACAGCCTGCCTCAGAGGATGAGCAGATTTTGTGGCTACCATATTAACTATAACAAATTATATTATATATTCAAAAGAAAGGAAATGGGAGTAGCAATTCTAAAAGGTTAGCATATAACACATACAATGATCTCCTCAGAAACTATTATCTAGAAAATAACACTGTAAATAGGAAATAAAAATAACATAAATGTCAAGAAAGCACCTTGACACTCAGGGAGTAACTTGTTTATTTTTACAAGGATTTATAATGTTGAATCATACAGGTTAAAATAGAATATTTGATATAGTCCGAACTACGAGATTCTTGTGAAATCCATTTGTAATTGAGATCTGTTATACAGGCCACTGACAAGAAAAAAGAGTAGTTTATGATGAAGCAGTAGTACAAAAGCAAATCTTTATTTGCTGTTGCTCAGCAACCACGTGCGGAGGGCCCATTTTTCATTTTCACTTTAACTTGACTTGACAGGAAAATCATAATAAATACGAGATTATTATCAAAGGATATAGATTATTTTGAACAGATGAACAGACATGTCAAAAAGAGGCATGTAATTTAGTAGCTCTTGAAAGGCAGAAGATTAGGGAAACTGAAAATAGGGTTGTAGCTTCATTACTGGCTTACGGTTCATACACAATTCTTCCAGCCCTCCTCCCCAACCCCGAAAGACCCTACCAAACTCTATTCTGCATCTCTGGTTTCTCTACATGGTTCTTTAAAATGAATCTTTCAGTGTTACTCAGCCTGCTGTTATTTGTGTCAACTTTTAGTTTCCATAACATGAAAGAATCATTCCGTGGTTGCTATGCAACACAAGTCATAAGCTAAAATATGTTTTAGTTTGTTTGCTAAATGGATGTGTGCCCGACTAAATAAACAGTAACCAGGTGACTAATGTAGCATCTAATTAAAGGACTAATCAAGGTATTAATGAAAAATTCAGTCCACACGAGATAAGATAATCAAATCCATCACTTCAGTTCTAAAATGCCAAAGATTTGTAATATATGCAAAAAGGATAGACATTAGCACAACAAATGTCCGTTTTCATACTTTTTATTTACTTTTACTACCGTACAAGCATGATGATTGCTCCTACAATGCATTTCAAGCAAACTGTTTCATGGCCTTCTTGCCCTTAGCTGACTACATAACTTAAACAAAAAAAAAGCAGGTCCATCAGATCTGAAATAACCCTGATCCTTCTTCCTTCTTTCCGCTGGAGCAGCAAAAGGCTCCTTTTGTGGGGGTGGGGGGCTGCTTCTGGAAGGCGATGCCTGCTGGCTGTCTCTGCCTAGGGCTGTAGGACAGATCCTATTTCAGGTGATCGTCCCAGAATCTCTCTCCTGGGACCCTTCTCTGTGGTTGCCAGTAGGTAGATGCTGGCAGAGATGCTGGTAGATGCTGTGGAGAGAGATATGTTTATTTAGATGTGGGAGAAGAGAAGGGGTAGCACTGAATTGTCAGCATGGGGAAGAGACGTTATGATGCTCAAGAGTAGTCTCCTGGCTGCTAATTCCTTCTGCCATATTGTCCCTTCCTTGAGTAGATGACCAACTTAATTAAAAATTGCAAATAGTACAACCCATTCTCCAATTGATGCTTACAGTAATTTTTATCTGGCAAATAATTGCTTTATCTGGCAAAGAAGCTTTCTTCTAAAACCCAATGACTGCAGAAGTTTCACATACATTCTGCTAATGATTTAGGAATTTAAACAGCTTTTATCTTTGTTTTCAGTAACATTAGTCATCTGTTACACACATTTTTGAAGCAATATAGAAGAGCATTAATTATACAGGATAAGCACCAAATAGATTTTATTTTTCATCTTGTAGTTTTGAAACTATGTAAAAAAAACAGTTAAAGAGCTTAGTCAGAAAACGTCAAAAATTAAAACAGGAAGTCTTTCAGTCAAACATATATGGGAGAAAACGTTACTGTTGCAGTTTTGAGACATAGCAAGATTAAAGTGGATTCTACATAAAAAAGAAAAAACATTACCAAAAAACATAACTATTTCTTCAAAAAATAGTGATTTTGTACATATAATATTCTTAATTAAATGAAATCTGAATCTGATTTTGCTTTTTAAAATTACACTCTGGAAAAGTTCAGTCAGATGTGAGAACTCTTCTAGAAAGCGTTGATTCTATTTTTTGTTTGGAAAGCAAAGCAGCATATGCAGTACTACAGTCATACACTCAAAGTAAACAATTCCAGTCAAGCATCTAATTCTTCAGAACAGCTAAGAATGCTGGGAAATATTGAAAAATATAATGCTACTGGGAATGTAAAACTGAAAGATATAAATTAAGCCCTTAACGAGACAAAGTGACTATTTCCAGTTTGTAGAGGAGCTCCGACAGGACAGCGAACACAAGAGAATTGAAAGCTGTTCATGCTTAATTCAAGGAGCTGAGTCCAAACACTTCTGCCCACTGCAAAGTAAATTTGAAAAGAAACAAAAAGCACCTATTTCCAGATAGATTTTAAAAAGTAAAGCATTGTCAAACTGTTAGTATCTTCCGGCCCGCATACTTCCCCATACCTTCTGCTGGGTAACCTGCTTAGCTTTTTGCTGCTTTGGATGACAAGTACATAAGGCCTGTAGTAGCGTTCACCGTGACCGAGATTGAAAGCGTAGCTGTCAACACTAGCCGTTAAGAACATTTTCTGAGAAAAAGCCAATGTAATCAACTGGATGCTGAGTGCTTTCTGAGTAAATAGCACATGTTTTGGTAAGAATACTGTGTCACTGCCACCCCAGATCCATGGAAGAAGGCATGCTGTTTCTTCAGCATATAAATGAATTTAATTAAACGTGTCTTATCCCATTTTGAAGGGGTTGTGAGTTATGAGATGGCTGCAGGAAGACAACCGTAGGCTCGTACGTAGATCTACACCTCGCCAGCTTCTTCGCAGTAACCGATCCGTCGCCTCTTCAGTGAAGGAGGGGGAGGGCAACTAACTAACGGCTGCGCCGGCGCGCGGAGAGGGGCGGGGCC